TAAAAAGAAACTGACACATGTATTACAGTGCGACAAGTTGCAGAGGAGGCAGGCGTGAGTATACCGTTGGTTTCACGAATCAAAAAGGACATCACTGGAAGGATAAAGGTGATTATTAAGAATACACAACAATTGAATAGCAAATTAGTAACCTTACGTGTAGTTAAGACTGACTACCATCTAAATCAGTCTTTGCATAGTACACTTATACATATTATTTACCTGCTTATATTATTTATTATATTATAATAAAAATCTCCACGTATCAAGACTTTTTTGTCAGACAGCAGATTATTTACAGGAATGGTTATGGAAGTCCTGCAGCAATGTCATTGGAGGATTTGGTCGTGTCGTCGAAATTGACGAGGCACAACTGGGACGACGAAAAAACCACAGGTGAGCTGTGGACACAATCTTACTCGTGAACATAGAATAACAGGACCTTCAGTTGTCATATAGTTTTAGGTGTATATTGCCTTTTTAAAGTAATCTGTTTCAGGGGTAAGGAGCGAAGGTGTGAATGGGTACTAGGCATGATCGAAAGAGGCTCCAACAGAATAAGCCTAGCTTCTGTCATCCGTCGAACAACAAAGGAGATGTATCCACTAATCCTTGAAAGAGTTTTACCAGGTCAACTGAAAACTTGTGTTAATTCAACTTTATGCCTCCCATTACTGATTATCCAAAGTCATAACATACATATGTAATAAATGTATATACATATATATATATATATATATAAATTATATATATAATACTAATATATATTCAGTCAACGTCTATATAATATTGATATTTTCGAATTATATTATTATGATAAAATAAATGTTTGTAATATCCTATTGAGGCACATGTCACCCCATCGCAGGTTTACTACTGCTTATACTACTACTAGGTGTACCTTATCGGACCTTATTTGGACGGACATTACTTGAACGCTGGAGGCCCTAGCGTTCATCTTAATGTCCGTTCAAATAAAGTCCGTTCAATTAATGTCCGTCCAAGTTAAAGTCCGTTGAAATTTTTTCAAAAATTTTTCCAGAATATGACAACTTTGAGAACTTTATTGTGACGTAAGTTAACGACGGAAAGGTTCTCCTTGGTCTGCCGGAGGCACAGAAAACTAAAAGTATATGATGTTTTCAAGGGTCACTTGGAGGAAAAAAGTCAACGAAATTATGGCACTCAACAACAAAGTTCATGAACTAGTCCCCGCCAACATGACAAACTTGCTCCAGCCTCTAGATATCACGGTAAATCGTGTTGCCAAGGACATTTTCCGACGTTGTTATAGTTCATATTACTCGGGGGCGGTAATGAAACAATGCTAGGAAAGCTCCACGTGATGTTAAGGTTAACCTTAAGTTGTCTAAGATAAAACCACTTCACGCCGAATGGCTTGTAAAAGTTAACAGTAACACTGAAATGCAGGACCGGGGTAGTTTGATTTTTTAAAAAGGTTTCCATAAAGCTAGAAATCACTGATGTTTTAAGCATGGACTATTTCATGCACGAAAACCCATTTGATGAAGATGATATGTGATATTAGACACTGATCATGTACAAATATTTTAACATTTTTACTGCTTAATGACTGCTTTTCTTACTTACTGTATAAAAAATGGATTAAAAAATCATTTGCTGAAATTTAAAAAAAGTCAAAAATTGAAAAAAATTCGGATTTTTGATGGTTTTGAATGCCTTCGACCGTTCATATTAATGTCCGTTCATAATTGTGTCCGTTCATGTAATGTCCGTCCAAATAAGGTCCGATAAGGTATCTATTGCACCAAAATGAGAAAGATTTTAAAGCAAAGTATTTGCCTTTTGAAGATGGGCAGAAAAGAATAGTACACTACAAATAAACAAATTACTAGAACAGAATGAGGATGGGTTTATCATCTCTAAAGTGTACTGGTGCAATACAGTACTAAGTGTATGATCCCCCCAACAGTTCAGGGCTCTAAAACCGTAGCAGAAACATATCACTACGGCCCTAAGAAGACTCTCAAGATGTTCTATGATAATACCGCATTATTTATTGGGGAAATCAGAAGAGTCTGTGCGAGAGCCTGACTTGGAGCCTGCTATAAAAGTTGCTGGATCTTATTGTGAAGCAAAATGCGAACCAAAAACTCTGGAAAGTAATGCTTTTTTCAAGGACAAAAGCTACTAGAACAGCTTCATATGAGAGAGGAAAATGGTTGGAAATAAAGAATGTTAGATCATTTAATGTTAACAACTTGTGGGGTTCACTGAAAAAAGCCACTACAGGTAACTTTTGTCATTTGATGCAGTGGGTGGTTCTTTATATCTATAATTTGTTTATTAATAGGGCCTTATCTCAGGAAGAACTCAGAATAAAGAAAAGAATAAAGAAAAGTGTAATAATCATTGATTATTGATGATTGATTAATGTAATTGATGTAATTAATCATTTATTATTGATGATTGATTAATGTAATCGATGTAATTAATCATTTCTATATTTAGGGGTTTACAACTTAAGAACACATCGTTTCACTGGTCTTCTGATATATTACTATGGCGACGAGAGCAAGAGAACCTTGGTGTGGCAATGCAGATTACCTGGATAGCTGGATAGAACAGTTAGAGGAATCTTTCATCCTAGAAGATATTACAGATGACAGAAAGAAAGTAGCCTCATTACTCAGCTATATTTGAAGCTATGGTTATAATATACATATCATAACTATCCTATGTCAGAGAAGCAATTATCGGTGATGCGTTATCTGCTTAGTTTCAAAATACCATGTATTTCTCCTTGCGTATATGTCTAAGCGGTCGCGGTCCCGTTTCAAATAAACTACCGATACTTGACAGTAACCTATATCCGTAACCTAAATGCAGCAGCTTAACTTCACGGTTATTTCAGATCAGTTTATGGTAACAGCAAAAGAACACAGTCCTTGTATCTGGAATATGTTGTACGACGTATGCGCAATCAGAACAAAAGCGACTGAGCCTAAACAGATAAGAGATCGGGAGAGGTTGAGCGAGACCTATACTGCAGTTCTCCTCACTACCATATTATTCTTTAAACAAGGCACATTGTCTGTCAGAAACGTTTATGTAAGTAACTTATTTTAAATCGCCCAAATATTTTAATGTGGGACTTTTTATAAATTTAAACAAGTTTTTATTAACTGCTAGTTTAACCGGTGCCTACGGCCACTATTGCAGAATTTTTCATCCCAGAAGTATTACAGATGACAAGCTATATTGGAAGGTATGGTTACGAGATGCTTAAGAAGAAAAAGATAATAAGAAAAAGTGATAAGAATTGAAGAATGAAAAGAATGAATACAATTATTAATGAATATTTTATTTTTCTTAACTACATTTTTCTTTATATAAGCACTGTATTAATCAAACATAATATGATGATAATAAAATAAATAAGATTATACATAAGTCTGCAGAATGCTTTCTTGTTCGACTTGTTCGATAAGAATTGTTATCATGGAGGTAAGGACTGACAGAAATATAATAGCCCCCCCCCCTTTATGTAGCCCCCCGGCCCCCGACCCCCTTTATGTAGCCCCCGGCCCCCGACCCCCTTTATGTAGCCCCGCAGCCCCCCTTTATGTAGCCCCCCGGCCCCCTTTATGTAGCCCCCAGCCCCTGACCCCCTTTATGTAGCCCCCAGCCCCCGACCCCCTTTATGTAGCCCCCCCAGCCCCCCCCCTTTATGTAGCTCCCCGGCCCCCTGACCCCCTTTATGTAGCCCCCAGCCCCGACCCCTTTTATATAGCCCCCCGGCCCCGACCCCCTTTATGTAGCCCCCCGGTCCCTGACCCCCTTTATGTAGCCCCCCGGCCCCGACCCCCTTTATGTAGCCCCCGGCCCCCGACCCCCTTTATGTAGCCCCCGACCCCCTTTATGTAGCCCCCCGGCCCCCGACCCCCTTTATGTAGCCCCCCGGACCCCGATACATCATGCAGATCAGCAGATCAGCAGATGTAGAAGTCATCACTGACACAACACTTGAGAGGCAGTGGGTAGCATTTCAAAGTCTTCCTCAATATGCCACACCTACCAGACTACTACAATTTTTGGGAAGCGTGTCATATGGACGATGTTCTTAATCAAGAGGCCTATCTTGTTTTTGCATTAAACACCATTGTTAACACCGAGTGTGGTAGCAATGCAACAGCAGAACATCTGGGTCACATGACTAACATTGTCACTAGCGCAAACCGCCAGCCTCTCTCTGCCTCCAATGAAATGGTAATTTGTTATCTTCTCCCAAGCCTTCCGGACATAATGATGCTCCACACCAAAATAGGATGCCTTTGGAAAAAGGTGGGCGGGAAGGATCCTTGTGGAAGCACTGCCACACAAAAGTTTAAAAAGAGTGGTAAACTTCTGAAGAATCCCGCCCTACCTAAAAAGAAGAACAGTGTAGCAAATTGTAAAGGAGAATCAGAACTCTCCTAGTTCACTTTTAATATCCAGTGTCACGTCCTTATGTAGAAGAAGAGCAGTTTTTCGGAACTCGATAGAGTACCAGTTGGTGAAGATCAACAACAGGAGAGAAGTTGAGCTAAGATTCAACACAGCAATCCGCAAGATTTAACTTGCTACTCAAAAGTTGAAGTGTTTTATTTTTACTTTCCTTCGTGTGCTAAAAAAGATAAAGGATCAACAAAAATAAAGGAAAAAGAGGAAAAAGAGGAAAATGTAATAGTGAGTAGAGTGTTAGATAATTGTATTTGTACTTGTAGTAAGTTTAGACCTTACTTCTAACCATGATTATATGCACTACCGAAGTAAGCAGTCTATTCTACCTAATACTTGCCTGAAACCCTCCAACCTTTTGCCTACCCCCAACAGTTCTATCACCATTTAACACCACAACCCAGATCCCCGAAATAGCGATCCACTACGATCCAGGTAGCGTACTCTAGTGCGACACAATATCCAACATAGTTGGTTCGTGCGCACTTAACGTACTTTTAAAACATAACGCACTTAACGTACGAAAAAACGTGAAACGCACTTTTACCTACACTCGCTGGGCCATTTGCGTGTAAAGCACTTGCTGTCGATTATTAACCAATCTTTCTATAAGCAAGTAAATACAGATGTAAATACGAAGACAACAGCAATCGGCTAGGACCTACCAACAACAACGAGAGTGTCCGACTTGAAGCCGGTAAGTGTTTGTGTGTTAGTTGTTGTTTTTCCCGTATTACATTGTGATCTGTTTTACTTTGTGATTGTGTATACTTCCTGAGAGGATGTTCCTTACAGTGTTTTAAGTGCCTTATTACCCCAGGTTGTTTTGTGTGGATGCTAGCGTAGCAGTCCAGTGAAGTTAGATTGAGGATATAGTTCTAGAGTGAACAGCTCTGAGAGAGCAGACAAGTATAGTAAAGAGTGGACCTGAGTGAGCTCTGAGAGAGCAGTAACCAGCACAGCACAAGTAAGATCAAGAGGGACAGTATAGCTGAGAGAGCTATTACTAGTAAAGAGTGGATCAAGGAACTTTCCCCAAATCACAAGTTAAATTGTTAGTAGATAATATTTATTGAATTGATTTGGATATTGAACACAGATCACTCAGCGTAATAATCATAACACTCATATCACTGATCAACCGAGAACATCTGAGAGTTATAACTAGAGAGTTATCTAACCTTGTTATAAATCTGTTTTATTACAACCTTTTATCCCAGAGAGTTTGACTTGGTATTATTGATAACAATTCTCCCTGTTTAGCGTTAATAACACTTGCGACAGCAAAAAGAGATTGTACTGGAAGTTCCTTACTTGAAAAGAAACTATAAAATGTAAGAGAAATAAATGTAATTTATTCGCTATGTAATCTTTAAGAACGTTATTCATGTGTTTTAATTGTTTGTCTCTACAGTCTACAGAAAATGCTGGTGAATTCAACGGTAAACGTACTTAAACGCACTTTTAACGCAAGAAATAATAATACGTATTTTCCCCGAAAAATTGACGCACGAACCAACTATGATATCCAATACTCACCCTAATTGTAACCAAGAAGGAGACTTTATTTGACGAATGTGATCACATGGCTTCTGTTCGTTACAACCACTCAAAATAACACTGCTGCAACCGAATGTCGATGGGATAGAAGTTGAGGATAAGCAGGGTTGAGATACCACTACTACATCGGGGCAAGGATAGAAGTTGAGGATAAGCAGGGTTGAGATACCACTACTACATCGAGATAATATCAATTTTATAATAAACTACGATTTTTTGGGACATTTGAATTGAGGACGAAGAAGATCTGTTAAAAATGGTTACCAAGTGGGAACACTGTCACCAAGAAGCCTGGGGGCTGAAATTCTGAGAAATTAAGCATGTGGCTCTAACAGTTTTAAGCCTGAAATACTGCAGCTATATGTGGTAATATGTCTGCCTCACTTCCTTCTTTTTTTACTTGTTTTACCTTAGATCTTAGAAAATGGCTCCAAGACGCGCAAGAGCACCTGGAGGAAGAGCACCCGCTGGAAGAATGCCTGGTATTGCTCCAACAATACTGCATGTGGATGTATAATAACAGACCGATTAAGTGAGTAAATTTTAAAACTTGTTCTCTCTTCTAAATTTCATCTTCTTTTCTGCCTTTGAAAAGGTAACATAAAAGGGACGTACTCTTAGCCACTACTCAATACTCATTTAGGTTAGTTGGTCAAGTGTGTTAACTGTAGACTCAAACATATCACATTTCAGGGAGAACAATTGTGTATTGCCACCTGTGTTTCCCTACAGTGGAGAGACGTTTCGGAGCCCAACCCGACAGTAGAGCAACGATACAAGGTTATCAAAACCAGTACACCCATTATATTTAAATTATATTTAATTTTAATTGATAAATTTCAGAACTGATGAAGATGTAGACCATCGAAAATATTTTTGTGTGATTAACTGCTTGTTTCATTTGTTGAGCTCGCTAGAGGAGGAAAAACAGAATTTTCACCTATCAACATTATCTATATCAAGTTCGATTTTCCAATTTATTCAGTATTTAACTTCATGCTTACAGCTACAAGAGTCCTCCGTAACAGCCAGACACAGTTGGGCTTGCCTGCGCTAGAGCTCATACACGGTTGCAAGACTAGATGGAGCAGTTACTACGACATGTTGAAGCGTCTCCTCAAGGTAAATACTACATATTAGATAATATATTATTGCCATATTTGATGCATTTTTGTTAGTGTCTTATCCATTTTTCCATGCTTGTTGCCACAATATATAATATATGCTCCCTAGTGATTGTCAATTTTTGTTATTTTATACGCTTTTAGTTGTATATAGTTGAATTCCTGTTATGTACAATAAATTTTCAGGTTAAAACAGCATTAATAAGAGCCGAAACTGAGTTAACAGTGACATATACCCGATTGACCTCCAACGATTGGCTGCTGGTTTCAAATGTTGAAGATTATCTTAAACCTTTCTCAGACTTAACTTCAATGGGCTCCTCAGAATGTGCTGTGATTTCCGAGGTAATATCTCAAAAATAAATGATTCCCACTAAGTTAACCTTGTTATACGATTACGATTTACGATATTGTTCTAGGCTAAGCTTAGCTCCAATCTTAGATGTAGACTTTTACATTAAAAAAATCTGAGAAAAATGATGAGTACTCGGTGACCAGATCATACAGACTCATTTCAAGTACAAGATATGAAGTCTACCGTCTTTCAATTCTCATTATTGTTGATATCATCGTTCAAGAATTTCTTTTATATTCAGGTTATACCGTGTACAAAGTTCCTGTGTTTCATGCTTGACAAGCTACCGCGTACATCGGTGTACAGGATGCGTGCTAAGATGATAGCAGAGACTAAGCCGAAACTAGTCGAGACTCTGCGGATCATCCCGAGATACGTTGTATCACTGCTTATGCTCAATGATATCTAAAAAATCTCATAAAGTTATAACCAATCACTAACCTCCTTACATCTCAGTTGTAAACATAGAAAACCCAAACATAGAAACAATTACACCATTAAGCATTATGTAATTGTTTTAATTTAAATATTATCATATCTTCACTATTTGTTTATCTTTAAAAAAATACTGACCTCAGCCTTTTGGTTTTAAAACCCGTAATATCGATAACTTTAGTCAGAATTTCATGGCACTTGTTATATATAATGTATAATTTATCATTATCCTATCTTATATATCGGTATAATATATTGATGATATTTCTATTTATAGGGTCTTCATGACTAGATAAGTAAAGCGTAGGGAGCGTATCACTTCGTACTACTCTAAAAAAAACACAACAGTGGCGACGAGAATAGAGATGCGAGACTACCAATATCCTTTAGGGTCATGTCTAAGGTTTTAAACTCATTTTCTTAAATTATTTCTACCAGTCCCTCAGATAAGGGCCGTAATTGTTTCAATTATGTAATTGTATTATTATTACTAATAATCTTCAATTTATTGTTTATGAATTTCACAGTGATGAATAAGATGGTGAATACTAAAGCAGCTGTCCCTGCATCTTGTACCCTGAAAAGAAAAAGACCAACTGAGGTGAAAAAATCGCCTAAAAGGAAAGGAAATAACACTACCCCCAAAGAAGTAACCAAAGGTTATTAAAATAATATCTTTATAATAATATCTTTAATAAATTTATTTTTAACTTTATTGAGATTACAAAAGTGTAAGCACATTTTTGATTGTGATATAACCAATTCTTTATAAATTGAAGTATGGCTTCAACATTTAAGTTGTTTGCGTATAACTATATTGTAATTTATTTATTATTCAAATTAGGTAACACTCCTAAACATCGAGAGACACCCGAAAGAAAAGTTAAACAGCCTAAAACGAATGGTGAGATTGAAGCTTCTTTAAGTTAACTGAATTATCTGCTCCCCAGTGCAGTTGTTCAATGTCCAATGTCATAAATCATGATTATAACCCAGTTGTTACATTGTTTTAATAATTCAATTAATTATAGGATGTGACAAAAAAGGGCATTCGAGTGACTTTAATAAATACTAGAACGAGAAATCTAATTGACAACACCTGCTTCCTGTACAATGTCAATTTTTAGATTCTACTTATACACCTAACATTATTTACTCCCCCACTTCTAGTAACCTCTGCTGTACGGACAAATCCTACACTGGAACTGAGACACCATGGAGGAAGAGAACTAAAGTCGTATAAGAAGATACTCGGGAGAGCAGGAAGAATTATTAGGGATCTCAGAGTAGAGATAGAATACTACGCGGAGCTGCGGGCAACGAATAACTGGAAAATAATGGATATCCAGCCCAGTCTACTCTTATCAAGACAGCCCAGCATCCCCCACCTCTCAATAGACTTTCTAAAAGGGACTACAGATCCCTGAGATTTTTATTTATTTATTTTTGTATGAATTGAGTTTCTACGCTACACCTTAAACAGAGGAAGGGTCGGAACTGATGGAGTCACAAAGACCTACTGCACTGGGCCTGTGTTGTCAGGCTCGAATGGTGCTTCTATCACTCCAAACTGAGTACGTGAACTTTCACTCCCGCGTTTATTAGTGTCATGGTATGTGTGTCTACAGTGTCTACTTATATAACTATTCGGTACAATAAATAACAAGTAATCCACAGATCTCTTTCAGAATTAAACTGTATGATTTAACACAAGTTTTAAATGGGACGGGAAATATAGGCTATCTAGCAATCGCCTACGCTATGTTCTAGGATTGACCAGGATCAGGATTAGTGCTAGTTGAATCAACCTTTTAAACTAGAGCGTATGCACTGCCAAAAGCATGAACCAGTCCGGAGGGGGATACGTCTGGGTAATAGGTAAAACGAAGTCATTTTCAAATGATTTATTAGGGGGCCCCCCGTAATGCGGTATTTACTTGGGTCGTTTTCGCTGTCCGTATTAACCCCTTTTTCCCGTTGTTTGGCCTCATCCAAAAACCGTTCGATATCTTTCAATAATACATTTTAAACTATTAACAGGATACTCAGGCTTGGTTCAATCTTCAGCTCTTTTAAAAACCCCGCCGGGCCGGTTTAGGGAACCGCTGACACCTTCTGGGCTTTAACTGGGGGGAGCTCCTGGTTTGCCAATCAAAAACAGGGATCGGGCACAACCCCTGTTTACAGTAGAAGGGGAGTACAAGCCTTGCAAACGGGCCCGTGCCGATGAGTTGCGTGGAATGGAAAGACTTTGTGGGGACACTGGGTGTAAAATGATGGACGTTATGTCTGGAGAAGGGGGGGGGTGGGTGTACAGGAAGGTGTGTCAAAGGGTTAGGGTTAGCTTGGCCGAGGTTGAAGGGGCCTCATAGGATTGTAGCCTCAGGTTTTCAGGGTGCTAATTTCATCACTTGTGCAAGATCGTGGGGAAAAACCAGTCAATAACCCAATCAATAAATCACGAGTCGGCGAAAGGAAAACCTTTTTGGGGCGTCAAATTTTACAACGGGGTCGTTTATTGTCGCTTCACTGGGGGGCATAAAAACTTTTCGGATAAATCCTGAGGTTTTTTTAAAAC